AAGGAGATACCCAAAGGCACATGAGTAAAGTGTACGACTGACATGGAAAGTGAAGGAAGACCTCCAGAGAGAGTCTGACTGACATGCTCGGCGACACCACAAAACCAGGATGAAGTCCCAAATCTGCTACTTAACTAGTTGTGTAACCTTGAGCAAAATCTGCACTACTATCATCCTCAGTTTCTTCATCTGTACAGTGATGACAGTAGGGCAAAGATAAACATTAAATAGTATGAATAATGCTTGCACCTAGTAGGAACACTAACAACTGAGAACTACCGTTGCTGTTTTTATGAAAGAGCCTTGATAATGATCTGCATTCCACATCTTCATTTCTTCACTCAGTGAAACATTTCTATGCCTTCAGGAATGAACATGTGACACAAGACAAGTCTCTGATCTCATACCCTCTACCAATTGTTAGTTCTCTTAAGAAAACTTTGAGGGACCAGTAGATGGCATAGTGGCTATGTCGCTGGACTTCCACGTAGTCGGCTGCGGTTCGCGTCCTGGACCTGGTGGCTTAAAATTCACATTGGGCACATGTGCGTGTGTGCCCAAGATCCTGGGAGAAGGAATTGTGGCATGGCCATCCCCCCAGGGGGTGACTTCTCACTTTCTGTTTTTCTCTCTGTCTCTCCAGTGAGTGCACGTGCCACTCTCTAAAAGAAAGAAAGAGAAAGAAAAGAAAACTTCGAGCCTACACTTCTAGAAGGCAGAGTGGTCACCTTTGCTCACTGGGCCTGGTACACTGCCAGACACACAAGAGGCATTGAGCAATTTGTGTACAGCCTGAAGGATAATCTGAGTGACACAGCTGTAATGCTGGGACGAATGTCCTACATTATTCCTCCATTTATGAACTGCCCCGCCCTTTATACCCTTATCTGTTAACAGTTACAGCCTTCTTTCTTTCACCAAAACATTAGCTATTCCATAGCACAACACAGGTTAATGACCCCAGTACCTCAGCAGGGCTCGGGAAGGTGACCAGCATATACACAGCAAGCGCTCCCCAAATTGGGTTAAGCAAATGGTGTTCAGGGATTATACCCGAGGAAGTTCCCATATTTAAATCTAAGAACCCATAACCAATTCTGAAAGCACAGAGGGGAAAAGAGTTTATTTGAGTAAGAACTCCTCAGGATGTGGCCAATGAAGAAAAATTAAGCCCCTAAGGAACTCAGGCAGCACCTGCTTCATGAGAGCAAAACCAGAAGGAGCAAATAACCCCCCCCCAGGTTGTCTATCAGGCTCTTAACAGATGTCTTCATAGACATTTAGAACATCTATCTTATGTTTTAACTGTCCTAAGGATTTCTAATTCCCTTTTATTTACCACCTACTTTGACCTTGCAGACAAATCCACAAGGCTCTACTAACCCCCCCCCCCAGGTTGTCTATCAGGCTCTTAACAGATGTCTTCATAGACATTTAGAACATCTATCTTATGTTTTAACTGTCCTAAGGATTTCTAATTCCCTTTTATTTACCACCTACTTTGACCTTGCAGACAAATCATTTCTCATGGTTTCAAGTGTCTTCTCTGTAAAATGGAGGCAATGGTCTCTCCTTCTGGAACTCACAGGGGTTAAACGTGATCACGCATGCCCAGGGCCTACCACAGGCCTGGTGCAGAGCAGCTGTGCAGTAAATGGGCTGAACAGGATCCATCGTCACCAAAACAAAGTGCTGGCCAACATGAAGTAGCCAAGCCGTACCTTCATTTATCATGCTGGGCTCTCCCTCTGCGAGCACACTAAGTTCTTAAATGAGGGTCCTGCCTGTCTCCCTCATAGTGTTCCTAAAATTCCTGCCTACTCCCATTTCAGAAAAACCCTGGCTTCTCCTGGTCACATTCTCATAACTGCCAAATGGCCATGAGTAAAATGGCACACACCAGTGTGCTTTGGTTGCTTAATAAGCAAAGCACTGACTTTTTGCTTGAAAAACACTCACACGCCAGGATGAAACCTTGGCAGAATACCAGCTGGTCCATCCCTGCCTCCCAGAGGCAGCGACTCATTAAGGGCCGGTGAAACCATGACTCCCACAGCCATGTAGGACCCTCCGCCCTAAAGGCAAAGCCCACAGCGGTTTCTTCTTCTTCCCATATATTTCTGATCCATCTCACTGCTCACTGCAGAAAGATTTAAATAAAAGCACCAACAGTTGCACACCACAACACAAGATTTGCCAAGGAAACATTTAAGCAAAAGAGAATATGGGTTAATTTAGGGTTCCATGCATAGAGACCTTACACAGCTTTTTTAGCTGAGATCTATGTAAATGAATTAGCAATCCAGAGAGCAAAAAAGGTCATCCTAAACACACAGGAAAGTACATAATTACTAGAACTAGAAAAAAGGTTTTTTAAAAAAGAGAATTCCAAGCTACCCAAATTAATTCCTATTCTGGAGTTTCCACATCACCAAAAAGTACCGAAAAGTTCTATTCCTAAGAATAACCACAAAATAATACAAGCTGGGTTCTTAAAGTTTCCAAATATCTCACTGTGAAGTGTATGCCAACAAGATTTGTGGTTCATGCCCCCTATTTTTCTTCATATTTTAGGGGTGGTAATCTTAAGCCCTGTATTAAAAAAATAATAATAACTGAACTGTGATCCACTTAAAATATGTATAATAATGTACTCTTTCCATGTATGTAAGCTTAGGGAGAAAAATTAGTTCAACCGTGGTGGTTATCCTTCGGCGAAAAACTAAAGCATACATCCAATCTCACAGAGTAAGAGGACTGGGAACAGTGGCATCTGGAGAGATACCACACTCAAGTTCAGAAAAAGAGTTACAAAATTCCAGTGCCACCCTGAATGGAACACCCATTGTTCTATTTCTGAGAAGGTAAGTACCATCAAGGTACTCTAACATGACACTCTACAACTTCCAGCCTCATTCCAATTTTTCTTATATTAATAGGCGATCCCGCCTGCACTATGACTGAGCCTATTTTTCTACCTAACCTTGCCAAGCAGTATCTCTCTTCCTCTCTCTCTCTCTATCTCTCTATCTCTCTCTCACACACACACCCCTATCTGTTGTATATCTGCTTGTATGTTTTAGTTACCTTAAACTAAGATCTACAGCACCTGAACATAATTTAATACAAACTCCGCTGTAGCGGTGATGCAAAATAAACACACGTACCTCCACAAAGAGCATCACCAAATACACTTATCGCACCATGCACAAACAGAATACAGTAACACCATCTCAAAGTGCAGAAAGCTAAAATAACTGACAGCTCTATTAGCGGGCACTGAGGAAAGGGAAAAAGTCGCTCTGCCTAATCAATGTCACATCCTTTACAGGCATACACAATGAGTACAGACAAAAGATGCAAAATGCTCCCATATCAGTATGTTCCAATTTATCACAATTAAGTGAGGACAGACCCATCATGGGGTTGAATGCCTGGGAACTTCATTTAATCTCAGACACTCACCACGACAGGCCAGCGCAAGAGACTGACAGTTCACACAGTTGCAAAAAGTCTATTTACCTCTGGCTTTCAAACAAAACTAGTTAGGTAGTATTTCTCCAGTCATGTCAAAATTCACTTCAATCACCCAACACTGACTCGACAGAGAACTCTAGAAGCATCCCCAACTAGGATGGAACATTCAGACTAATTCACAGCACTCTGTAAGCAGGCAAGACAGGACCCAGTACTAACAAGTCGCTCCTCTCCTAAAACGTGGGGCCCCTGTGCTTCTGAATATCAATCCCGCATGGAGGAAAGCAGGAGTGAGGAGCAGGGTCCCATCAAGAACTGTGCCTACAGAAACCAAAGCTTCCCAACATCACAGAGGCCCAGCCACCTGGGCTTAAATCAGAAAAAGCTCCCCAACCCTCAAATAAACCAATCACATGACAATCCACCCTGCAAAGAAAATCATTCCCCTTCCTAACTTCTACCTGATGCTGTCTTTCTCAACTGGCATGGGTTTGGCTTATTTGCAGGGGAATGATGCTTCATGGCACTTACAGGTGGCGCTGAGTTCTAGGGCTCATGTCCTATTTTTATTGAGGCTCCAGAAGTTTCTGCAGCTCCTAGGCTTGAGGGTTTCTCCCTACCCTTCCCACTCTATCGTTAATTCACTTAGAATTTTAAAGTTAAGTGCTTTGTCCTTGGCCCTGCCCCCAGGCACCCCCAACCCTCTCCTGGGGGGTCCAGATAAGAGGAGCCCTTCTTTCTGCAACCGCAGGCCCCCCTTCATTTTCCCTTTTTGGCCAGCTCATCCAGGCGGCGCTGGCCTCAGATCTCTCTTCACAGCCTTGGGTGCCCTGCAGGCAGGTCTTGCTGGTGCAGCAGCCCTGAGCCCTGGCAAACCCTCTGGGGCCAACGGAGGCCGCTTAGAGACCTGTCTGCACAGATCTCTTCCTACCTGGGTTTTAGGCACCAGGAATTAAGCTGCGAGAGGGGCTGGGGTGGAGACCAGCACTGAGTTCCCACTGACTCCGCTGGGATTTTTCCACGGGCCCTTGTCTCTGCAGCTAAGCCTGCCAGCCCTGCTGGGCTCTCCCTCTGCGAGCTGTAGAAAGAGGCATGCACTCCCATCTCCCAGTCCCCTGACGGTGACCTTGGCTGTGCAGCTTCTCCCCTACGCCACCTACTCTGCGGGTTATCAGAGGGTCACAATGATGCAGGAGCCTGGATTAGACTGCCTGACCCTCGAGAAAGGGGCAAGGCAGGAGAGGACTTCTCTCTTCTGCCTTCCTCTGCGTGCAGAGATCCCTCAGTTCTCTATCCACCTCCAGTTCGGGGCTTTAAGGAACCCTACCTAGGGAAGGGGCTTCGAGTCTCAAGTCCCCAATTCACCCGAGAGCAGGGGGCATTCGAGGGGGTGTGGCTTCTTCAGCCCCCAACATCCCTCCCTGCCAGCTCCACAAGCAAGAGCATCCGAGCGCGAGGCAGCGGCGCGAGCGCGGCCAGCGAGCGTCCCCGCGGCCGGGCCGGGGTCGCCGGCCCCGACCTACCTCCTCCAGCAGCGTCACGGTGTTCCTGCAGTTGTGCAGCCGCGTGGTGAAGCTGGACGTGGTGGGCGAGTTGTAGTCCTCGGTGGTCTCGGCGATGAACTCGGAGACGGAGATCTGGTCCGGCATCCTGCCGGGGGGACGAGACACAAGCAGGGGCGGGGGGTGAGTCACGGCGCAGGCTCCCGGGGCCGCGGGCCGCCCGGCGGCTCATGAACG